CCATTTCCTGCCTTATTCCCTCTGCTGACGATCCTTCAAGGCGGTCTCTAGAAAATCGATTGTTCTTCATTCATTTCCCATGCAAATTTGTGCTGATAGGCAGAAGTGTTCATTAGCGGCAGAATTTGCAAGATAAAATAGCCATCTGTCTGCAACATGTGTCAGTCTATTTATCTTTAAATTAAGACGTTCGAGGTCATGTTTTTGAACTTCGAAGTATAAATTGGCACCACCATAATAAACCATAATCTCATTTCTTATGAAATCTTGTTTAGAAAGTTATATTGCACCCGAAGTTTCATTGTGGGGGGTAAGCTCTAATGGATTATTGTGTGATTAATGAATAACGTTGGACATGCATGTTTCTTCAAACCTTGCTAGATATTGAACTATGTGCTTTAATGTGCTGCAGCAACCGCTAAATACAAGTATAGTAGAGTGAAGAACCATTCGACTTCAAAAGCTTTAATATTGACAGGTTAAAGCCCGACAATTAGTTTATTCTTTAATAAAAACTCTGAGACAGAAACAAAAGATATAAAATGACTTAATAGCTAGAAAACGCCTCTGCAAATTTCAAAAAATTTACAGTATTCTTGTTATGTTTCTCGAGTTACTTGACTCTCTGTTGGGATCTTCAAAATTCTAGCTGGTCCCTCGATGCTATCTTCAATTGCAATTGATTTAGCACTGTCTGTGATTGGCAATTCTTGCAGTTTACCTTCCTCCATTGTTGAGTTTTGCTGGTCTTTGCTTTTGCCCCACAGGACAGTGTAAAGTCCACAAATTATGATAACGGTTCCTATTATGCTGAAACCACCAACACAAAGGAAGCAAGAGATATAAACGAGTGAGCGATTTTATTTTATTATATGTATGAATTAGCAAAGGCAAATTATGCAGTGCAGGGGAAATTTAAGGTGAAATCTGATGGTAATACCTTCCAAGGTGAACTTTCTCTGCTAAAATTAATGATCCTAGAGCTGCCGTGATGATCATGCAAAGTGGATTGAAGGCTGTAACGAAAACTGGGCCTTGTTCCCTGAGCACAACTCCTTGTGCGTAATAGGCGATCCCAGAACAAACCACTCCCTGAGTAATCACAAGTTTTAGAATGTCAAGAGCATTCATGCCTATTGCTGGTCTCTATTAGTACTATCTTTTTAGTTTAAATTTATTGCTTTTTAGCCTTTCTTCTGGCGCTTACAGAATAAACAGCAGCTAGCAAGCTTGCGTCCCAGCCAATTTTCCAGGCGTTCATGTCTCTTTCCACCGCAAATGACACTGCTGCACCTCCTATGGTGCCAATAAAGCAAATCAGAGCTGTAAGCGAGAGCTCTGCTGGGTACATCCTCAATGTAAATGACTGAAAACAAAATCACCACAACCCCAAGTTAGTACAAGAGATGAGCATTTTTAAGATATTGACAAAATCAATGTTTAATGTGTATATATTATATATATACTCACTTGCAATATGTAAAAACCTGACCAGCCCCAGCATCTGGCTAGGAGCATTAGTGTTCCGGCAACCCAATGCTTAGCCTCAGCTGCGTTGGTGGCACCGTGGTGGCCTCCCCCTTGCAACTTTATAAAATTGATTGCAGGACCTTTGTACAGAGTCATGATAACTGCTCCAGGGACCATGATTACTGTTCCAATTATCTTGGCTATACTATGCACCTTCTTCAAGTTCACTCTCTCCAGCCTATTTGACGAAGTTTGATGCTTGTGTTACTCCAATGATAGTTTCCAAAATTATTTAAAGTTATAATTTTAATTTACAGAAAACTTGGCTGCAATAATTACATAAATATCACTGTAATTAACTGGGGGTAACAATAGGTGTAACGTGTGAATTAGCAAAGTGCAAATGAGGATACGACGATGTGGCAACTTCCAACTTAGGTGTTATTGGTTCGGTCTAAAGTGGAGCTTACGTCAATCACATATATATTGAAATGGGTCCCACAGCTTTCCACAGATTTGCTTCGCTCTTACGCATGCAAACTTTTCTTTTCAACCCTCATTTGCACGCTTATTATTGCGTTATGGTTATGGATGAAGTCAAATTGAAACCTCCAGATGAGACTGATACCTGAATATCAACGCCATTACAAAGGTAATGGCAGGAATCACATTCACGGTGGCAGATGCTAGGGTTGCTGTCGTGTACTTCATCCCCAGATAGTACAGGTTTTGATCAACTACTGGCCTGTTCATCATCGCCAAAACCAACAATGAATATTGTTAATCATATATATGGATACTGCCCGGTACAATATGTTAATGATATGTGATTCTGTGTATTTTATCTTCATACTATAAAGCTATCTTACCTTGATTATAAAGTTTAAAGAAACATGCACATATATATATATATATATATATAGGTGGAAACTTATGAATACTCTACACAAGGAAGTAAATGATCATCTGACCATGGAAATATTTACGTGTTGTTGAGGGTATTTATCCTTTGAATGAGGAGATTAGATAATGGGTAGTAATAAATATGGAAAGTGTTGATTGAATCAGGAAAGAAGATCCCAAACAGGGGTGTAAACAGGGTTTCTATGGCTCTCTTCTTCGGGTTTCTGAGAAAGAAATTAATGATTTCATATGCATGCAACGTATCCACATGTGTCCATGAAGTGCCAACTCTGCATAAGTATGCATAAACCCCAGAAAAGTTGTTGGGAGCATTACTCTAGGAAACCGAGCACCAGGATTCTCAGGAAAATGGGGAGAGTTAGCTTGGGCCTTATTTTCCTGTATACAAAAAGAATTGAAATAAGCGACAGGTTTCATCGATTCAGTTACTCTAAGAAAAGAACTAGACATAGTTGCCTGAAGATCAGAGACAGAGAGGGAGAGAGACCTTTCAAGAACTAGAGCGAAGGGTGCAATGACAATTGTTGCAACCAAATGGCGATAAACAGCAAGAACGTAATGGTTCATTCCTTGCTGCAAAGAGAACATGGTGATAACGTACATCCCAGCAAATCCAAATTGGAGGAATATCATTGCTGAGTATGACTTTGCCCTGGTGAGCCCAACAGGAAACGTTCCGTTTTGCATTTTGTCTCCCATGTCTCAATCCCTCCCTCTCACCTGTCCTAGCTTGCTCTCCCTCTATATGAACTGCTCTTGGGATGCTGGCACTGATATGAGGCAAGGCTTCTTATAGGCAAGCAAAGGTGAAGGGGAGGACTGGGGCACCTAAAACGCAAATGTTAAAGCAATGTTAAATGTGTCAAGCGCCTTAGCTGACGCAGAGAGAGAGAGAGAGAGAGAGAGAGAGAGAAACAAGACAAATTGGTTCCGGTGATTAAGGTAACAGTATTAGCAAACATACAAAATTGACACTTCAATTTTTTAATCAGTAGTATTTTTTAATAAAATTACTAATCCGTATTCTATATATATAATTTAAGATTTAATGAATTTATACATACTAAATTACTATGAAATTAAACTAGTATGAAAAAAACTCTAAAACTCGAGAAAGTTCTTGGTAGAATTAAATTGATGGTACAATTTGTGGCAACATGGGAACCACATAAACAACAGCAAATTGTGCCCATTACCAATTTGCGATAATGATTTCTAGTCTATTATTTAAATGGTATTCATAAGTGAATTTTGGGTTTTGGACAGTAAGAGGGAAGTCAAAGCTATCCTATCCAAATAAAGTAAAGATGCCATATTTATAAATTCGTACTGTCAAAAAATTGTACAAATTCCGTACGCACCCTTACGCCAATTTTCTAGATTCTCTTATCCACTGGGAAAAAGGCATTTCCTCTCCCCCCCCTCCACAATAAAGCTGATAGGTAGAATCCCATCCAGGGTTATAGAATATACTGCAAATATATAAAAAAGAAAAAGAAAAGAAAGAACCAATAGAGAGAGAGAGATAATGAGAGTTTATATTTGTTTTTGAGGGCAAGTGGGGATTCGAATCATTGGTATCAAATGATAATGAGGTTTAGTGCTGTTGAAATGTGCATGCTAAATCATGTGGTTTGTTAAGAATGGGTGCTAACAAGAGTGGCCACCATTCAAATTCTTAACCCCAAAAAAAAGAAAATCAAAGAAAAGAAAAGAAAAGAAAAGGGTTTTCGTTTCATTTTAATCACTCATTCATCCCATTAGGTGAATTGAGTTCACACTTGGAAGAGACCATATACCTAATAGCACTTATCCAAGTAAAACATTTGCCTCTTGAAGGCATTGATACTAATATAATTTTTAACAATTCATTTGGAACAAATTAGTTACAAGTTCTAATCACTAGTAAAAAAGGAGATGCTTTCTTGGGAAAGCATAAAAAAAGAAAGAAAGAATATTTGGCAGGTACAACTTTTCTTTGTGGATTATTTTTAACTAGTGTTTATAAAAGAGGTAAGTTAAGCTCAAATTAGATTTATTCGAATTTTTTTGTTAAAGTTAAATTCGAACTCAGTTCGATTCCTTCATTTAACTCTTATTTTATTATAAAAATATTAAAATTTTTTATTTGAGATATATTTTAAAATTCAAATATTAATAAAATATATTTTTATTAATATAATAATTTAAATAGGTCAAGCAGGACTCAACCTAAGATTACATTCCCAAACTCAACTAAAAAGCAAGTTGGGCTCTTAGGTCTAGTTAGGTAACCCAACTCTCAAACACCTCTATTATTAATTCAAATTTTGTAATTTCAAACGTCAATTTTAAAAATTATATATAATTGCATATTAATTTCCCAATCTAGCTTAGTCTTTACTTTGTTTACATCTATTGACCTTATATATATACATGAACCAGAAAATTTGTACATATTCTTATCTTGGTGATGTCTTATTTATCTACTCATTGGATTTAGTTATAATTATAACACCATCATTCATATTTAAGGTTTGTTTTAATATTTTCAATATGTTTAACAATTCAATATTAGAAACCACTTAATGTTTTCAATAAAAAGTGTTGAAAATCTTAAATAGCTAAAAGCTACTTAATATATTAAGTCAAATTTTGTTTGAGGAAAAAATTATTATTTAATTATATTAATCTTATATATTCCTCTTTCTTCTTTTTTTTAAAAAAGTATTATCAATGTAAAATACTTATAATATTATATTTTATTTTACAAAAGATTCAATAAATTGCCTTCCAAAACAAAGATTCAATACATAGTCTACTCAACATTAATGACATGCCAAACAATTTATATTTCATAAATTCAGTACTTTAGTTTTTCAGGACTAAAAATTCAATACTTAATTTTTTGATATTGAATATTTTTCCAATATATCAAACCATACATTACTCTCACTTAATTGGGTTTAATAATAAAATAAACCAATCGTGTTTAAATATATAATTGAATTGTATCTACTAATTTGTTGAGTAGAAAAAAAAATTTCTCCCCCTCTCCAAAAAAAAAAAACCAATTTTTTGGAAGACTATATAATCTTGAATTTAATTGTATATTGGAACACTATATAATCTATGTTTTGGTTCCAAAGAGGAGTCAAAGACCCATAATGAGAAAATCATTTCAAATTAAGATTACAAACCTTCTGGTTTTCACTATTATTATTCATCAAAACTATGCAAATTTCAGACAGTGGTAGACACTTAATATAAAGTCAATGATTAAAAAAATTCACAGAAAAATCATATACTTGTAGAATTAGATTTAATTTTGTTTCTTTTATTTTTCTTCAGAAAGGAATATATGCGCATTAATGTACTTTTGGTGAAACTAATTAAATCATTATTCTCTACAAAGATGCAAAGAGCAATGCTGATTTACATGATTCTACTTTAGGAAAAAATTTAATCTTAAGGAGGAATCATATGTTTGGCCAAAAAGGAGAATAACCAAAGTTACTTTATTAAATAATTTAACATCGAACATTAATTATATGTACTATGCAGCATTCAAATTTCAATGTGATTTATTAAAAATGCTTTCACAATATTTAATATCGCCTTATCTTGTAATTAATCACTTTTAATACAATTTCTTATTGTCTTGTCACGCAAACTTAATTGGTAAGAGTGAGATAACGTATGCAAAGATGTTTTAAGTTGGAATCGTAATTATTTTTTTTATGAAAAAGAAAAAAAAATTTCATTACATATTTTAATAAAAAGGTAAAATAATGTAGTTTTAATTGCTGTAATTGTTTATAAATTATTGAATAAATGATTTAATTTTGCAAACAATTTCTTTTTTCCATGAATTTTGCTAACATATTTGATAACTCATTTTGACAATGACTTAATAAAATTTTTTTGAATGAAAGTATAAAAATTGTTAATTAAGTAGGTATAAACCCAATTGATATATTCAATAAATGTCCTTTCCAGCTTTCCTTTTTAACTCTTATTATATTTTATAATCTCTATAAAATCATACACTATGTTTTTACAAAAATTAATAAAAAAGTTCAACATTTAATTTTCAATAATGTACCAATGGTTTCATAGGATGAATTTCAGTACCCAAAATTCAAAATTTAATTTTCAGTGTTTAGTAAATTAATTTCTCTTTCAACACCATAATTAGTTACAATTAAGAACATTGAGTTATTGAGTACAAGTAAACTTATAATCAAAAGACCATTACATAGGGAAACTTAGAATTGAGTTAGTACAACTAAACTTATAATGTTTAGGGGTTAACTATATTTACAATTAAAATTGTATGGTCACATTGTTTAAACTTTAAAATATAGCAGATTAATCAAAATTGATTCATCCACACTAGTTATAATCTGCAGTTAGTAACCAATTGTCAATAATATTAAAGGGAAGAAATATGTTTTAAATCAAAAAAAGAAAAAAAGGAAATAGATGGTATAGTTTAATGGGTTGACAGAAAACATTATGAAATAGCATATTTACACAAAAATATTCGAATAAAAGAGCTAAAAGAGCATTAGATCAAATGTTGAATTCTTAAATCCATTATCATAATTTTGTAAATTTTCCTTCAAATTTAGAAAAGAAAGGTTAAATTTGCTATTGTACTACGACTCAATACTGAATTTTGTAAATGTGCTTTAATTAGTATACTATTCAATTTAGTTGATTTTCGATAAAAATATTGGAATTATAATATTTCACATAATATTTCGTTAATGCAAGTTGCAAATTTTGTCATTTTATTTTTAATTTTGTTGATTTTTAAACAAAAAGTAATGACATTAGAATATTTTATGGAATTTGTAGTTAACGTAAGTGACAAATTTTCATTAATTCCCTAACTTTTTATCCAAGCATCAAAAAAATTGAAAATATAAAAAAAAATTAATAAAATTGACATAAAGTGACAAAATTTAACATTAACTTATAGTATAATAACAAATTTAACTTTTCTTTACCAAATTATAATCTAGTAACAAATCATATCATTCGATTATTAGTCGGATATGAAATCAATTTCTCGAATAACTAATCTCTTTTTAAAATTTTGATAAAATTTTCCTGAAATAAACCAATAAAATAAATGGTTCAAGATGACTGTAAGAACACATGGGGGGTATGAAAGATGGTGCTTTGGTGATTGGATTCCAACGAGAAACAAAGTTGGTGGAATCTTGCGGTGGATTCCTACGTTATCAATGGGTATTCCCCTCCTTTGTTTATTCTTTTTCATGCCTACACTTCACAGAAAATGACACCCAGTGGCCAATAGTTTCATGCTGTCGTGGGTAGAACCTTCTCCAAGAATTAAAATCCTTGGCTTTCTGTCCTTCTCCTTTCTATGGCCCCAATGATAGACACGTTAACCTAATCAACCCCAAATTTTTAAGATGTTAAGAGTCTTTCGAAATTACTTTCTAATTAAGATCTACTATGTGGGCGTCACCCTAATGCCATCGATCTTTTAACACCACAAACATGTGAATCAGCCATGAGTTCATAATAATTATAACAACTTTGTTACATTAATGGCAATTACAGATTTATATATTGCTAACCTAACTTTGGTTGGAACATACAACAAACATAAGAGGAAGGATGTGTCTTATGATTTTCCCATGATTTTGATTATGTATTTTTATAATGGTATTAGATGATGATGATGATGATTTACATGTGACATATAATCTTTTATGATATGGTGGCCTTTAACATTATCCATCTTTGTAGTTTTGGTCTTGATAAACCCGAAGTGATAAGACGACAAATATTCTTGAGGGATTCCTTTTATAGGAGGAAAAGTGGAGTACTTGGCATATGCGTTATCAAAGCAAGTTCTAACACTGCCTATATAGAATAGATAACAAGAAGAAAATAGGGGGGAGTTTTAGTCCAACACGAACTACCATGTTACATGCTTTGTAAGGAATGATTGCCTTTAAATCCTAACTAAGAAAAGGGCTTAGGGTTCTAGCATTAGGGCATTGAAGTTGATTTTGACTATGTTAATGATTTTGCCAGCCGGGTCTTATTTAGTACTTGAACACTTTTTAGTTGTATTCCAAGTCAAACAATAGACAAAAACAAAAGCAAAAAAAAAACAACCTCCCCTTTTTCCTCCTATGGTTTGGGTACTCAAAAACATTGTTGAAAGAGTTTTTGGACACAATGGATTAATTAAAAATGCCCTTGATTTATATCCATTAATTCTTCTGTATATAGATTCAAAACATTAATATGAAACTGTCACTTTACATACAGGTCTCTTTGCCCAATATATATCCAAGGTCCAAGGCTGAAAGAATGGAGTTTGGTTCTACTAGTTAAAGGAAAGCATGCAGGACTATGAATTTTAATTGCCCTGGCAAGTGGAAACCCTCTGATCTCACCTTGAAATGCGGGGATTGAAAGAGAGGAAATTCTGTTTGACTTGCCTCCTTGCTATCAATGTCTTCCAGGAACCTGTGACATCATCGATGACTTTTCCTTGACCTAGCAGGGTCATGACAGGCCACAATCACCTGTCCCATCAGACCAGAAAACTTAATGCGTCTAACCAGGAATCTATTCCTGGAAAGCTATCATGGTGATCTTAGAAATTTTTGTTAGGAAACTTGGAAATCAATTTCTAGAACTTGACACGTAATTGGAAATTATACATACTCTAGATCATTATGTCAGCTGCAATATTTTTTAACCAAATGCGTAGACATCATTATTTTTTATTCTTTTGGCATCTCTAAGTTGGTTCCACATTCACCTTTGGGATCTGATATTGGTGCTTAAGTAGGCAAATTTGGTAAGCGATTTTAATATTCACACCTAAGTGCACAGAGTTGCGCACAATATGTGTCAAGGCACACTAACAAGACTCACAATTTACAGCCAATTATTGGTTTATTCATTGAATTTTCAGGTTTTTTATCCAAATAAAATATTAAATTGTAGAATTTAATCCATGTGGAAGTCAGGAAAGAAAAAGGAACAGGTTTAAAGAACTCGATGCATTAATAATATTACATCAAATTCACTCAGAACTGCACTGCAAATCTTTTGCTTTTCCAAAACCCTATAATACATGCAGGATGATGGTGATATAGAAAGATCTGACGACGACGACAATGATAATGACAGGGATGATGGCGGTGGCTGCGCTGGTGGCGGTGGTGATGAGGAGATTGATGACCTCCAGGAATTATAGTCTCCTCTTTTGCTTAATTATTGGTTCTCTTACCATCAAACATGAAGTTGACAGCCTTAAAAATCATAAGAACATGACTCCCAATGATACATGGACTCATGCTCTGTAACCTGAACAGTCAATTACTTTTCTTTGATCAGGATTAAGACCCGGTGCAAGAGCTTTGAAAATTGAAATATTACATCATCGATCCGTGTTTTGTTTTTGTTAATAATTGTAACATCTATACGTTAAGCAGCTGATAACTTGATTGAGTGTTGATGACAAAGCAATCATTAATTTATGGAACAGACTTGGAAGCCATGATTAGCAGCTATGAACAGTCTGTGGTGACCAAATACTAAATGGATCTATTAAATTTCTTAACTCCCAAGTAATAACTTGTTTGTAGGAAGCAGACCATTGGCAAACAGCATTTTCTGAAGAGCCATATCTAGCTATTATGACTAACAGGTTTCAATCAGGCTTAACAGGACAAGGACGATGAACCAAAGTTGCCATGTGACTGATAAAGTGGTTGTTACATTGTTTGCAGTTTGGTATGGGGATGGATTTTGCCTTTGCCTCAAAGAGTATCATATTATGATGCAATGGGGAGAAAGCTTGCGCTTCCTTCGTTTTGGATTTACCCTACCGACAAGGAAGAGTACTCTCTTTCTTCTGTCTTCTGATTTGCAAGTCCAAAACATTTAACTTGAGATAGCTTGTTGTGGTGTCTCAAACGGACATTGAGATGGTCTAGAGATACAACTTGCATAAAGAAAACCACAGGAAATGGAGTTTCACCTTCCAAAAACCACTCCAAAAGTAAGATCACAGAACTTCCTTCTATGCATCTTGATGAGATCAACATAGGTTCGCTATTTCCAACTTTAATCTCAAC